TCCCGGGGAGCAGAGCCCCTCGCTGTGCATCCTGGCGGACAGCCGGGAGATCTGCTCGGGGCCGGAGGTGCTCTCGTGCCTGCGGGCCGTGCACGGGCTCCGGGTGCACGTTTGCTCCCTGGGCACCAGCGACTACATCGTCAGCAACCGCCTGGCCGTGGACAGGATGCTCCAGTCGGAGCTGCAGAGCCCCGGGAACAAGAATAAACTCGGCCAGAGGCTGCAGCGCCTGCAGGGCGTCTTCCAGAGGATCTGTGTGATTGTGGAGACCGACAGGGTCAGGCCAGGTGGGTGATGCTCTGAGGGACAGCGGGAATGGCTCCCACTGCCAGAGGGCAGGGATGGGTGGGATGCTGGGAATTGGGAATTCCTGGCTGGGCTGGGATTGCCAGAGCAGCTGTGGCTGCCCCTGGATCCCTGGAAGTGTCCCAGGCCAGGTTGGACACTGGGGCTGGAGCAGCCTGGGACAGTGGGAGGTGTCCCTGCCATGGCAGGGGTGGGATGGGATTTGAGGTCCCTCCCAACCCAAATCATTGTGGGATTCCTTGTCAGGAACAAGCACAGTTTTATCCATGCACAGACATTTATTTTAATCCAAAAATCCAAAGTCTGCAATGAAATTACTCCACTGTACAATAACAGGGTCTTGCTTTCCTGTACTCCCACTCTTCAGGAGAAACATCCCGCTGTTTGCAGAGGACTCAGTACTACGATGGAGTGCTCTCAGCCTTGGTCCAGGCTGGAGTAAAGCTCCTCTTCAGCTCCTGCCAGGAGGAAACTGCAGCTCTGCTGAAAGACCTGGCTCTGCTGGAGCACAGGAAGGACGCTGCCATCCAGGTGCCAACGGAGCCCGAGGGGCACCAGCGGGACATCCTCAACTTCTACCTGAGCATTCCCAACCTCAGCTACGGAGCTGCCCTCAACCTCTGCCACTCCTTCAGCTCCATCACTGCCATGGCCAACAGGTAACGCCAGCACAGGGCCTGGCAGGGGCTCCAGGGCCCTGCCTTCCCCTCCTCCTCCTCCCCTGGAACCAGGGAGAGCCTTCCTGCACCTTTCCTGCCGGGATAGCTGCTCAGGGACTCCCTTCCTGCACCTTTCCTGCCGGGATAGCTGCTCAGGGAATCCCTTCCTGCACCTTTCCTGCCGGGATAGCTGCTCAGGGAATCCCTTCCTGCACCTTTCCTGCCGGGATAGCTGCTCAGGGACTCCCTTCCTGCACCTTTCCTGCCGGGATAGCTGCTCAGGAAGAGCCTTTCCCACCCTCTCCCAGGAGCTTTCCTGTCCCATCTCTGCTCTTTGCACATTCCTGTCTGTCCTGCTGAGCATTCCAGGGCACTGACACGGGCTCTGCTTCCACCCTCCCTCCTGCTGCCCCATGCTCGCTTTCCCTCCGGCATTCCCTGTTTTCACTGCTCAGGTGTGCTGCCAGCCCTCGGGCACCTGTACAGAGGTGACCACAGCAGCTCTGGGTACTGCCCCATCCTGGGCTCCCGGTGCTGCCCCATCCCGGTGCTGCCCCATCCGGTGCTGCCCCATCCCTGGCTCCAGGGGCTCCCGGTGCTGCCCCATCCCGGTGCTGCCCCATCCCTGGCTCCAGGGGCTCCCGGTGCTGCCCCATCCCGGTGCTGCCCCATCCCGGGCTCCAGGGGCTCCCGGTGCTGCCTCATCCCGGTGCTGCTCCATCCCGGCTCCGGGGCTCCCGGTGCTGCCCCATCCCGGCTCCGGGGCTCCTCGGTTCCCTCTCTCGCAGCTCGGTGCCGGCGCTGGCGGCGGGGGCGCGGCTGAGCCGGCCCCAGGCCGAGGAGCTCCATCGGTTCCTGCGCCACGACTTCGACCTGCAGCTGCTGCCTCAGCCCCCGGCCGCCAAGAGGAAGAGCTGAGCTCGCACTGCGGGCCCTGCACTGCACTTTACCCAGTCGGGATTGATGTAAATGATGTAAATAAACACTTGCCAAAGCTCAGGGTGTGGGAGCTGCACCGCCCCGGCTGGCCGTGCCCCGTGTGTCCCCAGGGTCCCCGGGCCGGGGCAGAGCAGAGCTCTGGGACAGGGCTGGGAGTGATCATCCCCAATTCCGCTAAAAACCACAACGATGGCTCGAGTACCGGGCCAGGCTTCGGGCAGTGGCGGCGAGGAGCCATCAGTGCAGCACCGAGCCCCGCGTTCCCAGGGTAAAACGGGATTCGGAGCTGTTCCGTGCTCCCGGACCGCGGCGGCTCCTGGGGCGCCGGGGCAGCGCGGCCCCGTCCCGTCCTCGGGGCCTCCGGCCGCGCTCCGGCGCCCGATCCCGCCGCAGCCTCTGCTGCCACCCGCTGGAAAAGGATCGGGATCGGCATTCCCGGCCCTTCGGGCGGCAGCGCTTCCCGGGAAGAGGCTGGGACAGGGAGAAATCCATCCCTGGAGCAGGAGCTGTCCTACGGTTCAGCCACTCGCACCAGTGTGCCCCGCTCCGGTGAGACGCCCCTGCAGAGCTGCCCCAGCCCTGCACGGAGCCCGCAGGAATCCACGGAGCCCCTCCAGGGCTGGAGCCCCTCTGGAGCCGGGCTGGGAGAGCTGGGAATGTTCCCCTAGAGAGGAGAAGCTCCAGGAGAGCTCAGAGCCCCTGGCAGGGCCTGGAGGGGCTCCAGGAGAGCTGGAGAGGGACTGGGGACAAGGATGGAGGGACAGGACACAGGGAATGGCTCCCAGTGCCAGAGGGCAGGGATGGGTGGGAGATTGGGAATTGGGAATTCCTGGCTGGGCTGGAATTGCCAAAGCAGCCGTGGCTGCCCTGGATCCCTGACAGTGCCCAAGGCCGGGTTGGACACTGGGGCTGGAGCAGCCTGGGGCAGTGGGAGGTGTCCCTGCCATGGCAGGGGTGGCACTGGGTGGGATTTGAGGTCCCTTCCCACCCAAAGTATTCCATGATTCCAAACCAAGAGGATGAAGCCTTGCAGGCACCATTCTAAGCTGGACAGCTCCTGGAATCTGCTGGCCCACAACTCTGAGTAATCTGTGAGTAAAAAGCTTCTCCTTGTTTATTACACTAAGGAAATTTAAAAAATCAAGCTGCCCCTAGAGTAAATTAAAAAGCAATTTCAGTTCCTTCTGGACTGCTCCTGAATTTATTATACAGTCATATCCTAGAAGCCACTTCTTTAGCTTGAAATGTATCAGAACTTGGCAGTCATTGGTTTCTATGTACATTTCTCCTTCCCAGGAGAAGCAGGACACGGAGAGGAGGAGCCTGGACAAGGAAATGCTACTTTGTACACATGGAAAAGTCAAGCATTGCTGGCAGGGTGGGAATGGAGGTAAAACATAAAACCAGAGCAGGGCAACTTTTCCAAACTGAAATCATTCCAGCATTCCTTCCCAGAGGGGCAGCAGGAGGCCCTGTGCCAGTGAACAACACATCCACAGAATCCATCACATGGAAAAGTAGGAATCCTTCTCCTCACTGGACGACTCTGGACTCTCGGTCACAAAGAGCTTCCCCACCACTGGGGCCGGGGTCACTCCTGCAATAAAAACAGGGATCATCAGGGCCAGAGAAGGTTCAGAGAGCAAAAGGCTGATGGGACACAGCCCATGGTGGTACAGAAGAAGGGAAGGAGCTGGGAATGAGGAGGAGGAGCCAGGAATACTCACTCTTGGTTCTGCAGGAAGGTGGTGTCTCATGTGCAGCTGTGGCCTGAGGGAGGGAAGGAAGGAAAGAGCCTCAGCCAGGACTAGCACCAGCTCAGGGACCCATTTCCCAGAATTTCCACAACTGCTTTCCCTGAACCACAGACACAAGCTGCTCCCAGGATCACAGGGTTTTGTGGAAAAGCCAAAGGAGCTGCAGAGCCTGGGAGAGTGGAAGAATTGATACCTAAATTCAGGGATACAAGGTGACTTATGGTCACTGTTAGGAGTTGGACCAGATGATCCTTGTGGGGCCCTTACGGGTACCTCAGGATATCCTATGGTTATTGTTCCTTTTCCCACTGTTCAGAAGTATTTAACAAGAACCTAAAGATCATGGAATTCCAAAGCAATCCCAAATCCTGACTAAAAGCAACGGAGTTAAGCCTGAAAGCGAAGAGCTCCCTTCTCACAAAGGAACCTCTCTCCACAGCAGCAGACACCAAACCCAGGGAGGGTTCCCATTTTTTCCAGAGCACCCAGGGGGCTGTGATCCCGGAGTTCTGCCTCCTCTGGCCAGGCCGTGCCTGCCTCAGCTGGCAGTGGGCAGGGGAAGCAGCATTACCGACTTCTTCTTGACCTTGTCCCAGGTGCCTCGGGTGCCCTGCATGTTCTTCTGCATGCGGAACACGTGCCGGTCGTAGTCGTTCCTGGACACGGGGAGCAGGGCTCAGCGTGCTGCCACGGACCCCAGCCAGCCCCGGCTCCCACGGGGAACCAGCAGGGCTGGGTCAGGGCTGCAAATCCCACTGCAGCATCACACCAAGCCCCAGCCCCTTCCCGGCCCACGAGACAAAACCCCTCTGGCTCTGGGTTCCCAGGGGGGTCCCTGCCTTGGGGCAGGACTGGAGGCTCTGCTGAGGCTGAAGGCCAACCAGGCCGTTCCCAGGGCTGGGAGCAGGAGCTGAGCAGCTCCAGCAGCACCCGGGGCTGCAGGGAAGAGCTTTCCCCAGGCAGACCAAGGCCGCAGGAGTGGCTGGAAGTGAACTGCTGGCCCAGCTCCAAAGCCATCTGTCTCAAAGGCAAAAAGGGATCCTGGGCAGTGCCGAGGCTCCCAGAGGGCTGCTGGGCAAGCTCCTACCTGTTGATGGGGACCAGCATTCCTGGGCTGATGTGCTCACACTGTGGGGTTTTCACAGGGGGAAAGAGGCCTGAGGAGGGGGTGAGCGGGAGCTCTGAGAGGGTGAGATCCTTGGTGTCCCCGTCCTGGTTCCCTCGCAGTGCTGGCAGCTGCAGAGCACCTCAGAGCTGTCAGTCACTGAGCCTGCAGTGCCCCTCTCCCCTTCAGCAGCCCCTCCGTTCCTCCCTGCCCTGGCTCTGACTGCCCCTGTCCCCTCGTGCCCAGAACTGGACACAGCCCTGCATCTCCACGTTGGTCCGAGTGCCCCTCCAGATCATGCCCAGCACTTGGCTGAGGGGTTTTGGTGCTGCCACACCCTCAAAAAACCATTCCTGGTTCCAATCCCAAGCTCCAAGCTGCCCAGGACTGCTCAGAAGGACAAGTACTCAGGTGGTGCTGTCACCATGCAGAGGCCTCTCCCAGCCTGTCCAACCTCACTGCCACCAGCCAAGGGCTGCTACAGCACGTGAAGAAAGAATCCTCTTCCCACAGATCCCCAGGATTTTACTGGTGGGACTGGAGCAGCCCTGGCACACCCAGCAGGAGAGCAGCCCCACAGGTGCTGTTGGCCCAGGTTTACCTGGACCTTCCTCTTCTGGAAGGGCGTCGTAACGAAGATGTCGTCGTGGTTGTCCTTGGCCAGATGGTCCATGTACTCCCTCATCTGCTGCTTCCGCTTGAGGGTGCCCACCTTGGCAGTGATCACTGGCTCCCTCTTGTCTGCAGGATCCAAACAGGAATTGTCTGAGACAGCAGCTATGGGGTTAAAATTCACTGCCTGCAGTCAGTGCCACAGCCCAGTCCGTCCTCTGGTGAAATCTCTTACAGCTTCTTTAGGATCCTTCCGTTCTCTCACACAATTTTTGCTTTCCAAAGCAGTTTCCCCACTCCATCTTCAGGGGAGGGTCACTGCAGAGCCTCCAGAGCCACTTCAGGGTCACACATCAGGTTCATGGTGACAGAATGACACACACAGTTCACTGTGACAGTGACAGAACTGTGCTCACACATGCCTTGCAGAGAGCAAACCCGCGGGTGTGTCCCCATGTCAGGAGGCAGCAAGGTTCAAGGGCTCTGCTGCTCAGGGACACTTTCACTGAAGCCAGGCTCCACTTGTATCCGTGGCAAACCTTAATCCAATCCAGCCCCCAGATGAAGCTGCAGTGTGGGGATGGCAAACACCAGAGAATGGGACTGGGCTGTGCTGACTCCACGCTGCCCTTGGGCATCCAAGAAGCCAAATCCCATCTGGACAGAGCTCTGCAAGGAGCTTGGGACCTGCTGGGCCTCAAGGAGCCTCTCAGGATGTCATGAGCTCTTTCCCCTGAGGGGTGAAGGCCAGAGAAAGTCTTCCCCTCATGCCAACAACTGGAAAACTCCACAAGAAGAGAAAGGTTCTTTCCTCTCTGTTTTTGTCACCTCAGTCATTCATGACATCCTCCAGCCTCCACACCAAAAGGTGACCTGGCTCACAGCCACACCCTGATGTGCTCTTGTGGATTTATTCCATGGGAGCAGAATTGGTGGGGCTGGAAAAGCCCTCCCAGCCCATGCAGTCCAACCCTTCCTCAGCACTGCCCCATGTGCCCAGGTGCCACATCCACAGGGCTTTGAAATCCCCCCAGGGATGGGCACTCCAAACCTCCCTGGGCAGTGCCAATCCCTGAGCCCCCTTTCCATGGGGAAATTCCTGCTGGTTCCACCCTGAGCCTGCCCTGCCCAGCCTGAGGCCGTTCCCTCTGCTCCTGTCCCTGTTCCTGGAGCAGAGCCCGACCCCCCGGCTGTCCCCTCCTGGCAGGAGCTGTGAGAGCCACAAGGTCCCCTGAGCCTCCTTTGCTCCAGGCTCAGCCCCTTCCCAGCTCCTCAGGAACTCTCCAGCCCCTTCCCAGCTCCTCAGGAACTCTCCATTCCCTTCCCAGCT